CGCTGTGGTGGAGTGGTTATGGGAGTCGTCCTGTAAACGGTAGGTTGCCAGTTCGTTCCCCAGTTCCAGCTGTTCCGTCGTTGTGTCCTTGGGCAAGACACTTCACCTGCCTTGCCTACTGGTGGTGGTCAGAGGGTCCGGTGGGACTGGTGTATGGCAGCCCCACCTGTCAGTCTGCCCCAGGGCAGCTGTGGCTACAATGTAGTGTGAATGGGTGAGTGACTGTAAGTGTAAAACACTTTGGGGTCCGAAGTGACTCAATAAAGTGCCAAATAAGTTCAGTTCATTTACCATGTAAAGTGAAACATTGTTCCACCTGGACCACAAAACAATACACAACAATTAACACACAACCACACATTAATCACTGGGAGTTCACATTTGTGACGGCAGTCTGGTGCGGCCACGCAGATGAACGACAGAGCTGGTTCTCAGATATGAAATTTAGCCTGGTGCCAAAGCTTATTTACTAACCATTAATTGATAAGWTGATCGTGTTTTGATCGTTTCAACCTGTATATTGTAAATAATCACATAAGGCGTAGACATGCATTACAACTTTGTCTTACTTTATAACTTTTTAGCATTGACTCATGTTTTAGTCTTGACTGCAACCTAAMTGTCATTACTCCAGAACTTGTTTGTTTATTTAAGTAATTGGGTGTTTTTGTGTGTCACAAACAACAATTTTTAGTAGAATAGGGAAACGAACAAATTAGGGCCAACATGTGCAAGTAGTCAAAGACTCCTTTAATATTTGGATGGTTTAGTGAAAAGATAGTTGTAAAAAATGTAGGTCCAAATCAGTTTGGGAACTGGATATTCTGAGCTCATATACATTTAAATGTTTTTTATTGTTTAATATTTATAGTTTTTTTAGTAAACTTTGTTGGTTTGAGCTTACAAATTGAACTTTTTCACTTATTGAGAGAATTTATTGACTTTACACCTCTTTGCGACTTAAGGCCACTTTTTTGTTCCATCAACCTGTATGTAGGGATGTCCCGATACCACTTTTTCACTTCCGATACAATACTGATATTACAACTTTGAGAATTGTTCGATACCGATATTGAC